ATATAGAGAAGATAGAACTCGGTGCTTAGTGAGGTCATATTGGTAGCTTGAAATTGGCCGTAGTGGGAGTATTAACACTACAGAAATCGGTAATTGCAAATCAGGCCTTCTATTATTTGGTGGGTTCTAGACTAGCAGTGGTAAACTACAGACTGGCTGGCTATGTTTGCAAAGTTTTGTTGGAGTACAGCCAATCTGTTCATTCACATGTTGTCCTTGGCCTGAAAACTGAATATATGTACTCTGGCCCTTTACAGGAAAAGCTTGCTGTCTTTTTCTAGACATAAGGTCTGGACTAAAGAAATTGGTGGAGAAAATAAAGTGCTAAAAATAATATAGATTACACTTCAAACTGTGCTGTTACATTGCAAATAGCACACACATTAAAAAATGAAAAAATACATGTCTGGTATTCGAAAACTCTTATCTGGCTCAACAAAGAAGTGCTGGCCTCATTGACAGAGAAGTGTAAAGTTCTGACACGTGTCTCCCCTGTTTCACTGTTGTCTTGCTTTGTGAACATAAACAAACAGGAACATTCATATTGGAACTATACTTGTTCATCAGTTACAAATGCAGATTGACTACTGATAAACAGTTTGGCAAAAATCAACAAAAGTATTCAACATATTTTATAATTTATAAATTATGTGCTTTACATTGGTAAAATATGTATATTTTATACACACACGCGCACACACATACGCACACACGCACACACTTTTCTTTCACAGAGCAGATTGGTTAAACATTTACCAGCAAACCACCACCCCCAATCCCAAACACTACAATTCAATCAGTAGCTCTTTATTAAAGTTTTTCTCTCTTATCCCCACATTCTAATCTATTAGCAAAAATTTCAGCTCTCCCTACCAACTATGTCCCATATTCATCCACTTGTCACCATCTCCATTGCCACTGCACTAGTCCAAGCCCTTTGCATGTTTCACTACAGGGTGTTTTCACTTATCTCCTTGATGCCTATTTTCCCTCTAAAGCCCATTCTCGAAAGCTGGAAAGAGCTTTTAAAAATTGAAACTACATCCCTATAGGAAATCCCTTTAGAATAAATTCCATTTAGAATAAAGCCCAAACCCCTTGCCAAATCATACAAGCCCCGCTTCCTAAAGTCCCGCTCACGCCTTTGACTGTACTGTGTACCACGATAAACTCATTCGTGCCCTCATACCTTTGCTCTTTTTTCCTTTCCAAGGAAGGTTCTGCTCCCGGATTTTTAACTCACTTGACATTTTACAACAGCTTGAATATATAGCTCCCTTGGAGAGATCTTCCTATCCATCTGATCTAAAGCCAGCACTCCCAGTAACTTATCTGCAAGTCACCCTAGCCCAGTCACCTATACTGTTTCAGTTGCCTCATGCTACATTGCACTATCTGACTTATCTTTTCTTGTTCACTAGTTTGTTATCTTTACTCCATTCTATCTATCTTATTTACCACTCTATCCCCAGAGTCTAGAATGTACCAGGCAATCATAGATGTTTAATAAATATTGGTTGATTAAATGCATGACAAATGGACAAACATCAAAGGAAAACTTGTGTTATCTGACTGCAAGTCCAAAGCTATTCCCACCACGCCATGACACTTTCTGTTTTAGAGTGACATTTTTAAATGTTAGCCCATTCTTCCGTGCATGACAGCCTACCATATCCTAAAATTGCCCACACACAAGTTTAGTTTCATGTAACTTGGCTTCTGCTTACCTTTCCAGGCTCAAATTTGACTTTCACTAGTGTCCTATGCTCTCAACACACCAAGAACACCAAACTACTGTACTAAGAATCTAGTTTCAGTACTAAAAAACTACTATATTGAGAATTTAGTAATTATCAAGATAGCCCTACAACTTCATAAATTGAATCCCTTATTTTGCGAATGATGCCCCTTCTACCTAGAATGCACTGGCCCTTCTCATTTCTAGGGCAAGTTCCTATTCAGCCTTTGAAACTTATCTCAAATGCAAACCCTCTACGGCTGCTCCCATGTGCCTTTCCCAGAGTTAATTACTCATTCCAGCAGCGTGTTTTTTTATGGCCTTCCATTTTCATTGCATTCCTAACTCTACTCATTACACCGGAATGTGTTTTCAAGTCTGGGACTCCAAGACCCACAGTTGCTATCATTTTTTTTTATCTCAAGCACTTAGCACAGTGCCTAGGACATAATAAGAAATCAACAAACTGTCGCTAAGTTGAATGCATGGCAAGTCTAATTCCTCTTGCATGAAATCCAACAGCTAGCATGCTATTCACTGTTTACTCTCCTCCCACATCTTCTCTGTTCCAAGCTAAACCTGTAAACCAGAAGATAATGAGCAGTAAAGCCAGATTGATGCTTATACATATAAAGCAAAGCTAATGAAAGAAGACAGAAATATATTAATGTCAATAAACATGTACACACTAATAACCTCACCAACAACTGGTGATAGGACTATGCTGACTTCTACTTTTCCCTGTAGTCTACTTTATTTTTCCTAAGGCATATAATCTATTTTGTTAAATTCAATATGTTCTTCCATTCCTTTAACAGGACTCTAATTCCAGTTTTCCTCTTATTATTCATTAATCATGTATTCTCGTTTATTATTTATATGTTATTATTATTAACACTCAGAGTCATCATCAGATTCTGGTCTATCTATTTACCCTCCAAATCTTGACAACGTCTGCCTATGACTCCTTTCGTGCTCGATCCTTCTCTATTTCCTTATCTCCCAGTCTAGGTTCTTATCAACTCATGTCATGATGAATAGATTACATCTAGCTCGACTTCTAAGGCCAGTGTATTCCTCATTCTAAATCAGTCCATGTGCAGATACAACCTTCCTCTGATTAATATCTTCAGCAAGCCATTCCCTCAGCCTCAGAGACTTGTGGAGCAATCCCCCTTTGCCCATTGTGTTATACCCAAAATCCTTCCTGAAACACAAAACCTCTTTCTTTGTGTCTCCCTCATACCTAGTCAAATGTAGCGCTGTTTACTCCCACATCAGCATGACTGATCCAACAAGATTAAACCCTTTGTCAAACCAAAGCTCTGGAAATATTTCTTATTTCTTACCTAACAACCAATTTTCCACCAAGTCTTATTGATTCTGCTTTCAAAATATCTCTCAAATCCATGCACTTCTCTCTAGCTGCATATCAACATCATGGTTCCAGTCATCATTGTCTTTCCCCTGGGCCATGGAAAAGCCTTTGTGTTCACTATCTGTTTTCACTCCTGCCTTTCTATAGTTTCGAAATTGGAGCATGTCACACTAAGTGCATAAGGGCTTCCCACTGATCGCAGAATAAAATTCAAATTCCTTGTCATATCCTGCAGCCAGATCCATGATCTGTATCTTGCTGACTTTCCAATCCAGTATCACATCACTGCCTCTTCCTATCACTACACAGCAGTCCCTCTGCTTTTTTCAGATTGTTGGGGTCCCTTCACTTGCTGTTCCAGTTGCTTGGACTGAGCTTCCCTGGGCTTTTCCCATGGCTGATGATTTCTCATCTTTCAGCTTTCAACTCAAAACTATTTCTTCAGAGAGGCATTCTATAACCATCTTTCTAAAGTTACCCTTATTATCTGTCTACCCTAGGGTAAGAAGCTCATCGAATTCCCTATCTACCATAATTTCTAGCATAAATCGTGTTTTCAGTAACATTTATTGGATGAGTAAAATAATTCATCATGCATATAGGATACATTTTTTCACTTCTACTTCTGCTCATGTAGGTGCTCCACCTAGAAGGCTCTCTTATTCCATTTTTACCAACCGATGTCTGTTATTTATTTTGTGATCCAACTTAAGATTCACATCATAAAGAAATGCTTTCTAATTTTTCCTATCACACTATAATGTTTTTCTTCACAAAAGTTTTAGCATAAGTTACATAATATTCAAAAAGCTCTTTTTTTTTCCTAGAAACATTTTTGTTAAATGCCATGCTCCATGACCAGAAAACAGGTGTACAACGTTTTTCAGTCATTCCATGGACCTCACATGCCTTAGTGCCTCCAGGAGGTCAATATTTTCTGAGTAAAATAAAAAATTTCCTAGTCCCAGTTGTAATTCCAAAATAATGTGGGAAATGGGCATGTGAGTAGAGTTAGAGAAGCTGGTTGTCATGAGAATTTAATTGGGGGTGTGGGGGAGGGTTGTCAGGGATTTCTTGGTTAAGGAATTAAGATCACGAAAGAGGTAGAATTTTGGCTAAAGGTCAGGACTAGAAGAAATGAAAGCAAATAGGTAAAGGAGAGAGACAAATGATTTCTATTTAGAACACTGATTAAAAATTGGAAGTTTCTTACCATCTTCTGGTTAACAAAAGATTTATTCTTTTAGATGATACTAACATTTTTAGGCAACTACTGAAATCACAGAGGTAGGGCTTCTAAAGAATAGACACATTAGTAAAAGGAGGGAAATGTAAATGTACTTCATCCTAAACAAATCACCATACCTCCCCCACCAAACATAACAAACAAAAAATCTGATCTTCCAAACAAACTTCATGTATCTTTAAAATATTCCTCTCTTTATTGATTTATTTTTCAGATTGCAGCAATGTATTTCTTTTGGAGAACCTGTACCACAATCTCAAAGCCCAATCTGACCACTGCCTGCTGTCAATGCTCAGATATTTAGTTATATTTGTGCTGGCAAAATAGGTGGTCATTAAGAGCATAGACTCTGGAGTCAGTATCTCTGGGATTTTAACCCCAATGATAGTATTTAGTAGTTAAATAATCTTGAGAAGGCTATTTAACCTTTCTGGGTCCCAGTTTCTTCATCTAGAAAAACATAACTTTATTTGATCTAAATGAGTTAAAACATATATAAGTGCTTAACATAGAGCTTGGAACACACAGAGCTCAGTAAACATTCGCTGTTATCATTCTTCTTATTATTACATACACAAGGATAATTTCCTTTGGATCTGTTACTTTTCCCATCACATACTTTCAGATTTGGTACTCACAGGGTTAGAATGCAGCACAGTGAAGAACTCTGGGCTGATGAGGAACTTCACAGGGGGAGACTGTAAGAGCAACGTGAGCCTGGATCTGGAGGTAGAGTGGGGCAGGACATTCTCCCGGCGGAAATCTACATGGAGCAGACCACAAGGCTTTCAGGGAGAGCTTTCCATGTGAAAGAAACACACCTATTCACTTCCATCCATGTAGACCTACAACATTTGCTATTATTTTATTCTCCAAATACTTTTTCCTTTGATGTAAATTCATACATAAAACCTGACTGCTCTTAATTACACTAAAATGAAATAGAATATTTCTAGTCACTATTAACATTTTAATGCATCCTTAGATGTTTTAAGTGATCCGATTCAATCTTTTTCCACACTCCCACAGATCCAGAGATTAAAGTAATTTATATTCTCTTTGGTTTTATGATTCTTTTCTTAGTACTAATAAAAAGTCAAAGATTAGAAGAGGTCTCTGGAGAACTCTACTTTTTGAACTGGATTACCAGATCTCATTGAAGATCAAAAGTTCTCTGAAAGAAAAGCCTCATTTCTTGGAAATCCTTACTTGTTTTCTACTTTTATGAGATTACAAAACAAAGCGACCCAAAGGCTCTCTTACCTGCACTGGCTTGGTGAAAGTCAGCTTCCTCCCCTGCCCCATCAATAGCATTGGTATTTTCTTCAGGCCTCTCATTAGTCATGGTTCTGCGGATACTCTGATATCTAAAATCATGAATCTACAGTTATATCACAGTAGCCTCTAAAACGTGGGACTCAACTGCTTCCCTAGAGCCCAGAAGTTTTCGCTATCTTCCTAGCTTCAACCATTCCTTTCCAAACCCTCATTCCTGAACCCCCATCTCTGAACCCCCATTCCCAAACCCTATTATCAAACCCCATCCCCAAACTCCCATTCCGAATCCCCATCCCCAAACTCCCACCCCCAAACCTCCACCCCCAAATCTCCATTCCAAACCCCCATTCCCAGACCTTCTAGGCCATCTGTTTAAGTACATTCCATTCCATTGAATTTCTTCTCTCTATTGTTTGTGGAACATTCATTTAATAATTTTTTTTAAAAAAGAAATTGTGGCTCTTTACTAAAGAAAATTAAATTCCTCTATTGCTAAAGAAAAAAACAACTTTGTCCTATAGCAATTAGTTCTTGAAAAAGAGCGACAGATTTTAAAAACTTAAGTTGATATAATAAAGATGCATGCTGAATGAAGATTCTAGATATTTAAAATGATATTTGGCTTCAAATTATAAATGTATATACTCTGTTTTATTAAAGATCAATGCCTCGGGCTGACTAAAGGGGTCATTTTTACTTATTTCCTTTCCAGTTTCCACACCAGCAGTGCAGTATGTGTGTGTGCGTGTGTGTGTGTGTGTGTGTATAATCAATGCCTTGGGCTGACTAAAGGAGTCATTTTTACTAATTTCCTTTCCAGTTTCCGCACCAGCAGTGCAGTATGTGTGTGTGCATGTGCGTGCGTGTGTGTGTGTGTGTGTGTGTGTGTGTGTGTTTATTATTTTTTAACCAAGAGAAGTTCAATGAAGCATATGAATCAAAAAGAGGGAACGGCTATATCTTAATAACAGGGCTTCCAAGGAGAGACAACCATGTTCTCTACTTTGCACTATGTAAAAATTAGCCCCACCACAAAACAGAACAGCCATAGCAAAAATACCCATCCTCACCTCCGGTTCAGCTGCTCCATTTGCTGTATGGAGTTGGACCTCTGCAGCACCTGCGGGGCGGGGGGAGCTGTGGGCCGCTGCCACGTTGTGGTTCTGTTTACATGATCCACGTAGAAGATCCTGCCGTGGCTGTCGATGCGCGCCTCCCAGTCTAAAGAGTAGTAATGCATCCAGAGGGGTTAGGAGAGGGGCTGAGGCCATTAACGTGCTTCATTAAGTTCGGCATGTGTTTTCCCTCTCTGACATGCTGTAACGTGGGGCTAATAACATATACCTCACAGCATAACCCAGCATTTCCCCTCAGTCCATACCAGACTTTGTTGTGGCTGGTTAGTAAACACATCCTCTGTGTGTAATGCCAATCCCTTAAATATTCTGAATGTAGAGAATCCTTCCAGATCTGCCCACAATGCTCATCCTTTATATATGAGCACCAGTATTTAAAAAATACAAATAGTATATTATAATTCTTGAGACGGTCCCATCAAAATTGGTATTGATGTTTGTTTTCACTAAAAAATGGATTTTTTCTATTTTTTTTTCCAGTTTAGATGATAGACTCATAATTGGAAACTTGCACATGCACATTTTTATACAATTTTAGTAAATGTAGTCATCAGCAGAAAATAATGCTAGCCTAGTCGTTAAACACTATCATCATCTACACACTTATCTGTACTTCCCCAAAGATGAATACATTTTCAGAGCAAGGGTAATCACTTGCATCTAACCTCAAATAAATACAATGTTTTAAAAGATTATTTAATTTTATGTTTAAGCAATCTCATTGATTAAGTAAACAAATATATATGTGCATGTTTAACAAATCTTTGTAAACAAATATATAAGTGCATATTCAGTAAAAACATCAAGCAGACTGGTCCACAAACCCAGAAGTTTCACCCCTGTGACTTTATCAAAGGCTATGCCACAATAAAGTACACAGAGCATGTGCTAATGTTTTTAAAAGGCAAAAATTTTAAACTTATTGCAGTTGGGAAAGGTAATTTATATAGAAACATATGAAAATAGCAGAGATCTATTCTTTAATCAGAAAAGTTCTTTCTTTTCTTTCCTTCTTACTTTTTTTGTCATACACACCTCTTATTTATTTATTATTGGGGATAACATTGGTTAATAAGGTCATATAAGTTTCATGTGTACAATATTATAATACATCATCTGTACATTGCATTGTGAATTCATCATCTGAAGTTTCATCTCCTTCTGTCACCATACAGTTGAAGAAAGTTCTTATATATTTCTATTTCTATGTAAACTATTTTTTGAAATAAGCCCCTTTTTCCTGAGCAGCTTGATTATTTCAAAATTCTCCATGTGATCACACAGCTTATCAACAGATATCACAGGTCTAATCTTGGAGAACAGGAGGAAGGCATGTTTGCTCCTGACTACCCACAGAGCAAGTATTCTAACGAAGTCTTTGGTTTGGAGAGAACTGCACAGTAGATTCCAGCCAACACCAGATGATCACTGAGAGCTGCCTCAGTAGGGAGTGGAAAGATCTTTTTTTGTTCATCTCAGTACAACGTAATTTACGACAAATGGCAAGAAAGAAAAATTGGGCTGAGGAAAAGCACTACACAATCACAATACAACTCAGTGTCTCTCACACTCCAAGGTAACATAGACTCACAAGGAACCAGCTTGCCAAATTGGAATTTTGGGGGGACAGCTATAATTCCATCAATAGAACATTTCCAAAAGACCTTGTGTTTAGCCTGCCATATGCTGACAAATAGTAACTACATTAAAGTATTTTCAGGAACCATTTTCCAAAACCCTTTGATCTGCTTCTTACATAACTTTCCCATCTCAAAAATTGAAGAACTAATTATTCTCATCTCTTTCCTTTCTCATTAGAGCTAGGATGATTCAAACATATACTACACATCAAATCAAATGTACATGAAAACAAATGGCCATTCCTTCTTCAAGAATTATCACAGTAGCTTCCAACTTTTAAAAAATGTAGAATAGGTCAATTAGGGATATAAACAGAGCAGAAACCAACTAAAGGAAGCAGAAAGAAAGATGTTGCCAAACACCCAAGATAAGGTTATAACTATAATTTGGCTCAATTTTTTGGCAGCTAAGGCAGAAAAGAAAACACATTGTTGCATGCTTTCCATGTGCTGACAAAATAAAGTAAAAAAATTATCTTCGATTATAGAACTTTTTCCTTGAACAAACTAAATGAGAATTAACCTCATGAAATGGGACCTATTTGAAAGCCACATGGGTAGCAAAATAGGGGTAGGGTAGAAAATCTCCAAATGTATTCACCACGGTACCCTGCACATAGCAGGTAATGAATGAACAAATAATTTAGATAACATACAGCCATAAAAAAAGAATTATTCTTGTATTCACTTTCCACGAAGGCCAGGAATAAATTTAATTTGTATTCAAATCAAGGCATTTCTATGAGCAGTGGGGAGAATAAGAAAACAAGTTCCAAGGATTTTCTTTCTAAGAACATAGGACATTGGATGCACATTAAAATTATCCCATCGAATCTCATATCTTAAAATTGAGGTTGTTACTCAAGTTCCCAAAAAGAGAAATGCTATATTGCTGGTTTCGAATGAGCACCTGGCATTGGATTGGTAAGGACTATTAGGCTGTTGACAGATTCATGAAATACGTATCCACTCTTACCCAAGTGGTGAGCAGACGAAGATGTGAACACATCTCTGTGAATGCTGAGGTTGAGAAGAAGGTCAGTGACTAGACAGAATAAATTATGTATCAGGAGAAGCCAGAATTAGACTCTCTACATGACTCAAAAGAGTGAGGGAACTATGAGTGGGGGCTTGAATTTGTTATAATTGGATTTACAAAAGTCAAATACCTGAATTTTATAAATTTATAAACCCACTATATAAAAAATTATAATAGCCATGGTATCTTCACCAAAATGATGAGATGTTGAAGTTATAATGAACTAAGGGTACTTTTTTGGGGGGAAGGGGGGACCAGTATGTGATAGATGCTAGACATCAGTGTTAAAAAGTTTTTTGCTTTTCTCATTTTGACATGAGGAAGTATGATTCCATTTATATAAGTACAAAAGTAAGTGGAACTTATACGTGATTTTGAAGTCAGGATGGTAGGCCTCCTTCAGGAGTGGGGCTTAGTGATTGAAGGGGGGCACAAAGAGACTTCTGGGTGTCAGTGACGTGGTATTGGTTGCATGGGTGTGTTCGGTTCCAGAGAATTCAGCAGGCTGAATGTGCTCTTTTCTGTATGTATATTATATTTGAATAAAAAGTTTTTAAAAATTTCAAATAGTTGCAAATTTTGTACCTTAATCTTCAATTTTGAAGGTAGTAGCTTTTTAGATTAAAAGTATCCTTTCTGTTTTCAAAACTTTCAAGTTTTAGAAAATAAGAGCCCCTAGCCTTAAACATAATAGAAACTCTAAGATTAATTATATTTTTCAGATTCACTGCCTACTTTCAGGCCTTCATTTCAAAGGATGCCTTAAAAATGAAAGTGCATGACCACGAAAAAAATGATAAACATTCCTCTGTATTTTTCCAGAGCTATCCATAGAAACCCACTACATATACTATGCATTTGTCCTAACAATATGGCAACAATTCTGGGGTCCTAGAAGAGTCCACTAATAGTTTATCCTGAATCTATTTCTATTTCTACCCTTTTGAGGAAAAAACATTTATTCAACAATTCCCTATTTTCTCCAGTACAGCAATGGGTTAAGTCGCAATTACATTGGAGTCAATAAGAGAAAGGTAAAATAGTTTTTTAGAAGGAGCTGAGCTGGCCATTCTTTTTTCATTTATCTTAATGCTAAAAAGAAACCAAGATCTGTCATGCTGATGAATTCTGGTAGGCTTCAGCCCTGAACTGCCTCCAGCTGCCAGTGTCATCAATCATCTTAGGATAAGATACAGCAAATTCTTAAAGCACTCAGTGCATATTCAGGTTCAAGCTGCTTCCCTGGAAGGCTCTCAGCAGTGCCATGTTGCTCTCAAGACCTGGAGCTTTCTTATTTTTTATGGATAACTTCGTTTTCAAACAAGTGGTTGAAGTTACACAGCCCACAAGTTCACAACACAAGGTCCTAAAGCAAGAGTAAGATTTTGAGAACCAATTGGTAGATTATCATTACATCTGAGCAATCTTTGTACTAAATCCAAGATAACGTTCCCTAACCCTAAGATAGAAGGAATAAGACTGAAAGAAGCAAACAAACAAAGAAAACTGCTTTATATAAAGAGATCAAATAGGTATTCAGAGATTAGTCATAACACTGCTATGTAGACTATCACATGACCAGCTATAAGAGTAATGTGGCAGAGCGAGGATACCACTGAATCCTCTTAACTAAGTTTGTAATCTTCGGAGAGGAGCATAAGTTTGCTGGATAATTTTTTCACTATATGTTAGCACCCAAGTATTTTATAAGGTGAAAATAAGCTCAAACAATAACAGTGATAATAATCATGAAAAAGAAAAGAATCATGTTGGGGGGGCGGACATCAAAGCCAAGGTACAAAGCTTCAGCAGCCCGTGCTATGGGTCTGGAGATAGTGACCTATACAGAGAGGAAAGGCACTTCTGAGTCTGAATCAGATACATATGCGCCATGAGACAGTCGCTCATACTGTCATGTCACTGCAACCACTTCTCTTGAGGAGCAGGGAAGGTTCTGCTGAGTAAACTTAACCCAGAAGAAGAAAAAGAAAGTACTTTTTGAACCTTCCTGGGTCTGACCTCAAAACATTATAGTATATAAAGCTTCAGTAAAACCTCCAAATCCTCTGACTTGAGAAGTTGCTTGCACCTAATAGAAAATATAGCACACTATAAGCCACCACTCTGCTAGCTTCAGAATTTATATTCATCTATCCACACATTAGTCCCTTCCCTCCTAATCTTAGATCGGAATACCTGATAGAGAAGGAATGTCTGAGACTCTGTCTCAACTTTTACTAGTATGGTATCTTAAACAAGTTACCAATTTATCTGAGCTTCAGTTTTTCATCTTTAAAATGGGAGAATCAGATTAGTTAATTTCTACTCACCAATCTATAAATTACAGATAAGACCAGTTTGACCTACCTCACAAAACTTACAAAGAATTTTTTTAAAACAAGGAAAGCATGTAAAAGTGCTTTGTAAACTGTAAAGCACTATACAAGTTTCAAGTATTATCATTTTAATAGTGTTAAAAGTATACCTGTTAGCCCTAAAATAATTGAGCCAGGTCATTTAAGAGATGAAACAATCCTGTTCATCATTCACTCTTCAAATTGGATACAAGATTAAATTGCTTTTTTACTTTTGAATAAATCAACTTATTAAAATGAACTACCACTTGTTTATATTATTAAAATGAACTACCACTTGTTTATATTTTTAAAATCCTAAAATATATTCTGTGTAATGCAAATATCAGTGTTTAAACAAATGCAATGAAATAGTGGTCATAATTTCATTAGAAAAGTGTCTGTCCTTATTAAATCTATTCTAGAGACCAAAACCATGGTCCAACAAAAATCAGAGCAATTGGATGTGGCCAGGGAGATGTCATCTATCCATACATGGATGAAATACTGTGCCTCTTGTCCAGGCCTCTGTAACTCTTATTTACTGTTAATCCACATATGCATATAATCAAAGCTCTCTCAGAATTCTCTTCTGGTGTTTCTAATTCATTTTTCTCCAATTATATTTAAATATCTTCCAGGAATATGTTTTCCTTTTCTGACTCTAATCTTTTCTCCAAGGGTAAACAATAAGGAAGCTATTTACCTCCTTGATTAAGATAACACAATGGTTAATTCATTTTCAAAAAACTGCTTAAAATATGTTTCCTATGATAAACCACCCTCCATTATCCAAATGTATGAACAAGGGGAGGATCTGTGCACAACAGAATTTCGAAAGGATCAAGCCAATATTTTAAATTGTACATAGTATCATTCAGCTCTTTTGTCAGCACTCACCAAAACTAACCAATCAGACTTTTAGCTTTTTAAATGTATATTCCTCCCACCCCTTTATGTCTCACCATTTTTAAAACACAGAGGGCCAACGACATCAGCCTCTCGCCATGATCACATATCAGATGGGTAAGTAAGGAGGGTGAATAAGAAGGGAAAGCAATAAGATAGAAAGGTATATTTTCCAATGTATTCTTAAAAGCAGTATTTACTCAACTTTATCCAAATGCTTTGCTTTCACAAAGCAATATTGTTTTCAGGGATTCTAGAAACTTAAATAGAGTTTAAATTATATCCAGAGTATAACTGGCTATGGGCATCGCTCAGACCTTTGAATGCAGATGAATAACTATTTCTCAGCATCCCTAATCCTCAACCATCTCTTCTTTAAGTGCTACGTATTTCTTTAAAGTGAAAGAAATGAAATATTTTTCAAATCCCCAGATAATTATCATGCTCCGAATAAATGGTAGGCTAATTTCCAAAATTAATAACACTTCTCTGTATATCCCTAAGAAAAATACCAGAACCTTGTACTTAATTATTTAAAATGTTGTAAGTGAATTAAAAAAAAAGCAGCGTATTACAGAGTAAGGCTTTTCTAAGAGATTTACCAATTTGTCTAGTAACTGAAAATCTGTGCTGCCGTTAGGCATATTTAAAAAAAAAAAAATCCTATTATACATCCTATTGTCTAAACTATCTGGAATTATTTCCCTGATTACACTATCTGCTCCACAGGCATCACAGTATTTACTTTTCCCCCTGCTGCCCTTTCATTCACCAGAAAGGAGTCCTCAGCAGAGCACTTTCCAGACTACATCTGCCCTGTCGGGTGGCAGGCCCCAGGTCCCTCCCTCGTGGGTACCAGGCTTCCATCCTTTAGGTTCCTGGGCCCTGTCACCCTTATACCCTTTGATCAAGGTGAGCCCTTTAGTCAACAAGTCCTCACTTGGTGGGAGAGCCTCGTCCACCCTCTGGTACCGGCTAACATCCTGGCGCACTGAAGGCAGCGATCGCAGTGGCTGGTGGCCGTTGGCTTGAGAACCTAAGAGTAAAGGTAGAAGTTATCCAGATATTGTTTTCCTTTTCAGTGTCAAAACAGTCTTAAAAACAAACAAACAAACAAAAAACACTAACACGTACACCTGAAACTAATACAATATTGTATACTTTAATAAAAAAAAATTTCTTAATCCAACAGAAAAAACAGCTAGTGTTTTTTCTCTATTTAGCCTCATTTTCCGCATGAAGACTCAGAAATAAGAGAAAACAGAAAGTGAATGCTTAGTCAAAAAAGGGTCTTCTAGAGAGATGCCCATCTGCTCCCATCCCTCCCCCTCCCTCACCTTTTCCCACCCTAGCCTCTGTCCTGGTCATGTACTAATGCTTTAGAGCCACGTAACGGCCACAAGACAATGAAGGAAACAAAAACAACTAGAGGAGGAAGAAAAGAAGGGACATAATTTAACTTTAAGCAGAAAAATAAATTACAAAATAAGAAAATCATTCCTATTTCTGAGTCTATGCTATTTAGGCATATGAAATTATCCTTAGATTTTTTGATGCATCTATAACTGAACATTTTAAAGGGATCATTCAACTGAGCTGCATTCATTGAGACATAATACAAATTTTATGTGTAAGTTTGCATCCTCAGACACACAAACAGAATGCAAAAATATTACATTTGATGCAAAGCACATATTAACTTTCTGTTTTGAAGGTTTTATGCAATAAGTGACCTTAAGGTGTCCGCAAAAACTACAGTTTACACTAACACTGAACTGCTGGCCTGTTTGGTTTTGTATCTACGAATGCAGCTCCCACCAGAGAGTTATTACTTAAGTTTGTTTTTGTTGTGTTTTCATACTGCCCAGACAAGGGGACTGGGCCCTGGGTGCCAGGGTGCGCCCCGGATGCCTTGTCGCGGCATGCACATGCGCAGTTCGATCCTTCAACCTAACCTCAGGTATCCCGCTCCTCCAGGCCTGTGTGGACAGGGCACCCACCCCTCCACTTCATGGGCTGTTCCAGGGGAGAGCGGGTCCCCAAACAGCACTCCTGATATGGAGCTTCGAGAGTCATTATTTTAGTCTGAAGACTTATTCGACAGGCCTCTTATCTCAGCAATAGAAGATCTATTAAAAAATAATAAAGCTAAAATTGAAACCCAAGGTGAAGAATTCAGATAATAGTCAACCTGTAGTATAATTTACATTAAGGGACAAAACCATAAAACTTCTCTTTGAGCAGGTATGCTTGAGCCAAGAGCCATGCTGTCGTCTACATCCTACCTCCAGTAGCGCCCTCTTCTTGGGCAGTGGCCCCTTCACAAGCCCCCTGGGCATCCCCAGCATCACCCTCTTCTTGGGGCTGGCTCTCAGTAGCAGCAGCAGCTCCCTCTAGGCTGCCCCTCCGCTGCCAGACCTCCCCCACCTCGTCCTGGTCAGGTAAAGCAGCCATTTCTGCCCCTGGCCCTTCCTCCTCTCCGCTGGGCACTTGCACCACAGGTAAAGAACCAGGAGTGCATATGGAATCCTGTGACCCTTCTGCGGGGCCGCTGCTCGTGGGCTCTGCTGCACAGGCTCCGTCTTCCTCCTCCTGGGAAGAAAAGGCTGGGGTTTCGGGAAACCGCGCACTCTCAAGAGATGAGCACCGTGTCTCCACTGAGGACAGCTGCGTGGTAACGCTCTCATTGCAGGAGCTGTCAGCGCCTTCCAGGTCACTCTCTCCCTCAGGCCTGGTGCTCGCCTCACTCACACTCTCTGTCCTGGCGGGGTCACTGGGTTCTGTTTCAGAGGACACCTGTGAAGGCTCAGACCCCTGATCAAGGGACTCAGTCTCACTGATGGCTCTTCGGCTTCCTCCCGATGTGTCAGAAGTCCCTGTGTCTGCCCCACTCGTGGGCTGATCTACCTCTTGAGAGCCACACAATTCGGTGCTGTCCTGGTCAGCACGGGGTTGAGACTCCGGGCCATTTTCACTTTCATCTGGAACTGAGCCCAAGGGTACAGAGTTCTCTGCAAGATCTGGAAGATTTTCCGGCTTATCCTCAAAGGAAGCAGCTTCATTTGTGGAGGCTTCCTCAATCTCCATTGGGCTGTCTTCTGGCTTTGTCTGAGACGTCAGGCTCACATCATCAGTTCTTGATGTCCTGCTAAACATTATTAACCCTCCTTCCTCCTCCAAAGAAGAGGGATAACCCAGGTCTTGCTGGAACTCGTGGTCTTCTTCATCTGAGTCAATATGAAGCATGGCATTGAGTCTTGTGTCGGTGGGAAAACTACTCCTCAGTTTTGGAGAGGCTCCCATGGACCTCTCCGAGCAGGTAGCTGAGCCAGGCCTGGAATGGCCACTGTGCTCAATAGCATCTAAATAATCATTGAGTGAATCCTGACGTCCTCTGGGAGGTGAGGCCCTTGAAGAAGTAGAGGTTAAATCCTCTGTGTCTATTTCCAGAGTTGAGCTAGTCCTGAAAGAATGCTTGGGGGTCCCATTGGCACTCTCCTCAGACACTGGTCCATTCGAGCAAACAGGGCTGTCATGATGCCCCCCTGGCATGTCTTCCTCATCAGAAGGGCTTCCTAGGTCTCCGTTCACAGTATTGACTCCGAGTATTGTGCCAACAGCTTCTGGAGAAGCATCTGAAGGAGAAAAATAGCATTTACAAAAAAACGAAGTAGTAACAACCAATGTACTTTTAATGTCCTATTGCTTTGCCACCAATCAGTTCAAAAAATTCAGTCATCCCAGTGAGGCCTCTTTACAGTATTACCAACTTGCTAAGATTCTTTACTCACTACTAAATGAGTATATTGCTGGTCAATCTGACATGTGGGGTACATTTGCTCACCGCTGGAAATTCTTCTACAGCCCAGTTTCCAAATGCAGGCATAAACCTAAGAAATATTTTTTGATAAACAGGCTTTTTCATATCTGCTTGGAGAACTCCAGCAGGTAATCATTTCATAGCTATTTTGTTTTCAGAACAGGGCACAAATTTGATTCTATTGAAATGCACACTGACAACTGAGTGAGATTTAACAAGTTTTCCTACAGTGATTTATTTATACAGATATCTCACCTTCATGCACAGAAGATGTAACCTCCACTTTAAACTGGAGGTACCCACTCACGTGGTCAGCTGGGAGCCTTCTGCCAAGGTTGTAGCTGAGCATTTGGTCACTGCAAGAAGAGAAATGATTTTCACTTTTAGTAGACTGGTGTCAGCCTTCGTCTTCTTTCCATAAGCCATCCCCCCAAATCACACATATTTCTTTTAAAACTTTCAGATTCATAAGAAAATAAAAGGCTCAAAGCCATGTTAGAGTCCAGTGTAATATTATTCATTTGCACAAGTGAATACTAACAAATCCAGGGATAAAGAGAAATCTTGTCATAAGGGAAATTATTAGTAAAAGCAGAAAATGCCATATAGTATTATTATATGATTTTTTTAAGGGCACTAATTCACTCTCTTACTGCTAAGGGTGACCAGGTAAAGGGCATTTTGAGTCATCAAGGAGCTGTGAAAGTCCTGAAATTATAGGTGTTTTTGGGCTCAGGTGCAAAAGTATAGAGGGCCTGGTTCCTTAGCATTGAGCTCAATAGGAAGCTGGCTTTCAAAAGATATGCACAGGTAAGGGTTATCACATGCTGGCATGGAGTACACTGTGCTGCCATATTCTGAAGAATGGGAGCTAGGAGTTAAGAGAGAGCAGCATGAAAACAGGCCACACCCCGAAAGCTGTGTGAACAGCAGGGAGCTGATGAACCTCACCTTCCTCACCTATAAATTAAGGGGGATGGAGCTGCTGGCTGTCACTGTAGGGGAGCCTGGCCATCACTGATTCTCAGGCTGGCTTGTTAGTGATACTGATGGGACAGTTGGAGAAGCTAGATGAGTCACTTGGAGATGTGCTAGAGGGGACCACATGTGGGCCTGCCCAATTCCTGCCCCACGTTGGCCCCAGGCTCAAGCTATCAGCCTCAAGGACAAAGTCGTCCATCTTTTTCAATTCCATGTTTATTTATCAAAGTCAAATGCAATTACATCATTTCTTTGCAGCAAGCAACGTTTTTTTCTGAATCTGATTTACATTTAATTAAGGAGAATAACCGAAGGTGTAGTACCATCTCTGCTCCCACACTGCCCTCTACTGTCAACTTCAGGAGGAAGACAATGCCTTTACCCAGTGTTTGCACACAGTACAATTTAGAGCCTCTTGTCAGCTATTATTAATCTTCCTAATTATTTGTTTCTTCTTTTCTCCCTCCTCAGTACAATTATAAAGAGATGTTATCTGTTTAAAATTGCACATGCTAATAATAAAAAATCCCTGTTCAGTTCTTACGAATTTTTTTGACTTCATAGGAAATTTTTAATAAGATTATATCCTTTACCTTTTTTCCCCCTAGAAACACTGCAATAATTTTTTTCTTGATTGATGCTTCTAAAATGCTTTTTTCCCCCAAATTTATGTTTATTGCGTGTCACTTACTCTCTGCTAAAAGCTTTGCATGCATCATCTCTTTTAATCCTCCTAGCAACCCTGGGAGGGTAGCGGGTAGCCCTGTTCTCTAGAGAAGGAAAAAAAGGCATAGGGAGGCTAAGTAACTTGCCCAAGGCCAGACAACAATTAAGAAACAGAACCAGGATTAGAACATAGCTTCAAATGATACAGAAGCCCCTGCTCTGCTGTCACCATATCACAATCTCCTTTATGTACATTCTCAGTGATTCTAGGTTGCTTTCAATAGTATGCATTCTAATGACATATATCTACTCCTGGCTCACCTCAATGTGACTGCTATCATAATACTTTTTCTACTTAAACAGGTACTTAATATTTTTTTTCTGTAAAGGAATACATAGGCATCTGTAACCTGTCTTAGATAGTACAGATATGTTAAATGCTTTCACATTAGTATTCAAATATTATATAATGGCCATAATCTGCATAATAACAGAGGCGTCTTTTTCTATTACCCCTGTCTTTCTAACATTAAAACAGTGCCTGACACACACAGGTGCTCCATCTTTGTCCACTACAGCATGAACTCAGCAGCAAATTACATGGATCTGCTCTCAGTACTGTGGCTCCTCACCCATCTCTTTGGACATTCAGTCCTGGAATAATAAAATCTTTATTTCTTTGTTAAAAATAAACTGACCCTCCTCCTTGACCAATAAGTCGTTGCTGTTGACAAGGAAGCTTTATAAAAATGATAGATTTTAGCTAGGAAATAAATGTTTAGTGGGAATTGTAAGGAAAAAAACTGCATCTATTTGTTTTGCTCACTATCATATCCCCAATACCCAACACAGTGCTAAACATTTAGTAGACACTATATGTATAACACACACACACACACACACACACACACACACTTGAATAATTTACCATCCCATTTAAACAACATTCAGAATTCTGAATGATCACATTACCCAAGACAGATAAACCGTCTTCTCATTACAATAAAGTCAAGTTCCATTGTGGTACCTTAAACTTGGGGAATGATTCCAACTTCCCAAGAAAATCTGATGCTATAGATGAACACAATTTACCCATCAATTATTGGAACAAATCTACAATTATTACTCTGCTTTTGTTAAAATGAGTTTCTATAGAAGTGCTGAAACGCAGAGCAAATGTTTAGAAAAGTATGTGATTGGAGCTTTCCTCTGAGTGTTTACAATATAACACACACTTGAATAAATTAATTAACAAATAAGACTCTTTACTTAAAAAAAAAGTTTTAACAGGTATTCGTGCTGTTTATTAACCAGACAAAATACTCAATTCAACTAATCAACCTACAAATACCAAAAATCCTCTGTATTTGGAGACTGAGTCAAATTCTTTCTCCTTTGCCGAGTGCCTGTTAAAGGATTCACCTGCTTTCTTGTTCTTACCCAGTCTCATCTGACTCCCCCTGCCTCTTGCAGTGATATATTATTGTGAACAATATGTTATATACTATTATGATATATAATTATAAAGAATAAGTGCCAAAGAACTCTCACTACCTGAGACTTTTTCTCACTGATGTAATCAGAGCAATTGACAAAGCATGGGAAAGTGATGTGCGTTTTTGGATAGAATGCAGGCCACTCTGAAAAATGTCAAATTCAAACAAATGCTCTCAAAATAGGTAATTCAGAAGGAGTTCTAGCTCACCCTATAAAACCACATCCTGTAAAACCTCAACTACTTCAGATAGTTGCAGTCTGCGAAACACATAAGTAATGAAAACTCAGAATTTTTCAAGATGTATCAGTTATTAGATGGAAAGCAATAATCAGATCAGAAATATATATTTAGATGCTAATGTCTGATATACAAATATGTAGTATGTATTATTCTTATTTGACAAAGCAAATCCCTAAGTATCTGTATCAGAAAATGCCTTTAATGTACTTATACAGAAATATTTTTTAATGTTGATATTTATGAATTCATACTGGACTTCTTTCCAGTACATGGAATCCATGACTGGCAGTTCTCTATGTGTCCAGTTCTTTAAAAGACTAAATGAAAAGCCAGCAAGTCAACAACAGTTTGAAGCACTGACAAGGTTTTATTTTTCATTGATCATTCTTACTGGCATACATAAATTGACACTTCTACCAAATATCATACATATTGTGTAAATTATATAATTATATAAATTAATTGGCAGATATGTTTCCCATAGTTATTTCTCACTCTTTATAAATCTTCACTTTCTATAAATCCTAAACATAATTTTTAAAAACCTCCCATAGTTCATTATCTCTACTGGAAGCAGTAATTGTTATCCTTAAAAATAATTGTGATTTCCTAGCTTTTATCAGATAAGACAGGCTGCTAGAATTTCAGGATAATATTTATACTTCATGTGGGCTGGATCAAACACAAATTCCATGGTCTCTAATGGCCAGAAAATTAGAATCCATTAGAATTTTTTATTTTCAGATTTTTAAAGAGCCTTAGGGATCATTTGGTCTAAATGCTATATTTTTCAGGTGAGGAAACTAATGCTCAAGGAAACCATGATGAATAGTTAATTAGCTGCAAAGTGAATATGGATGATCCCCTTCGCTCAGCTCCACCTATATTGTCGGTCCTTGAGATGTTTCAGAGAAGCCAAGATTCTAGACCAGACTGATCTGAACTCAAATCTCAGCTCCACCCCTTGCTTGTTAGCCTCAGATTCCTCATCTCTGAAATGGGTATAATCATATTATTTACCTCCCAGAGTTTTTGAGAAGATTACATGAGCTAATGAGTATAATGTACTTAACTCCCGGTATAAAGTAAGTTCTTGGAATCTTTTTTGTTTACTACTACTATAATTACTACTATTGTTATTACTGCTACTGCTGCTGCTACTACTGTTACCCTATGTTTATAGTGTTCTCCTACAATGGAAAAGATCCAAGAAGTTGCCCCCTAGTGCCACCTCAGAGCACCAGTGATACTGAGTTTTCCGGTACCTACCACGTAAAAATATATACACCATTTATAATAAGGGAGAGAGGCATGTTTTGATTTCTTAACTACTTTATTCGCAACTTACAAAAAGCTCACAGAAAGAAAACAGACATCATAAGTAAATTTTAGTTGCTTGATTGAATGCATATGTCTCACAGCTCTACTATAATATATAATACCCCCTTAGAGTCTAGGTTTTGTTTTAAATGGCCCCAAAACACCATGGTTTTTGTTTTTCAGGAATAACAAGTTTTCCAGATGGGACTGACCAAGGATTAAGGTGGTGTCGACCTGACACTAGCATTCTGATCTAGGAAGAGGATTTTATAGCAAGATTTCAATATACTCAAAAAAAAAAAAAAAGAACGCTATGACATTTGATGTTGAAATGCGAGTGGTAGGTATATCTTAGAAAAGATAGATACCAAAAAAAAAGGTATATAATTAAAACAAAGTGCTTTTTGTCCTGAATATTATAATGAGTCTACAAGCACTCTCATTTTTAAAAGAATTATGTTATCACTTCTTATAAGTAAGAAAGTCCTAGGACTGAAAATGAAAGTATCATTTCATTTGCTTCTATACAAACTAATCTCACCAAGATCCCTGCAAGTGAGGGCTTATTACCCGATGGCTTGCCGCTCCAGCAGCCTCTGGACTGGAATGGTTAGTTTCCCCAGAAAACGCTTGATGATAGGACGGCTCTTGGCAAATTTGTCTTTAATTTCAATTTCTAAGACATCAGTAAGAAGAGCAAAAAAGGAATATTTCTGAAAACAAAAACAAATAACATGTTGATTCAAAAAAAGATAAATATGAAATTATATCATTTATTATAGAAAATGTTGTCTCTTAAATCCATACATACATGACATACAGAGTCCACATTGCTAGAAATATCTGCAGCTATTGTCAACCCTTTATTCACAGAATCATTAACATTCATGACAATAAAAAGCAACAGTTAAGGATCTACATGACAAAGGAAGCCCCTTCAATCATCCAATCCTTCATGGTTCAACAGTTTTAGGAGATGCTATCAAATATTATATTGTGCACAATACAGTTTTAATACTCACTACATTTATTGTGTTTTAATTATTTTAAATTTAATATCTTGTTATAGGATGGTTTAGAATTAATCAATATATTTGACTAACGGCAATCTTAATTCTGATCCCATGGTATTTTGAAGTTGCACAACATAGATTAAAACACTGCTTCACTTAGTGGTTAAAGTGGGAACATCTATGGAATATGATGGTTTCCCTGGTAAATATTAAAATAAAACAATGTTTAAATGGAAATTACTTAATTTAAAAGGCACTCAGGGTCGTTTCTTCTTATACAGGACGGAAAGATAAAAGTATGAGGTTAAGATAAATTATTTGTTTAAGAATATCATTGGAGAAAATAGCACTGGATATTAATAGGATATAAAATAAATATAAAGAGGTTTATCCATTTACAAAGACTTTTAGATATATTACCTCCATTTTGTCTTTACAAAGGTAAAATTTTCTTTTTAACAATGAGGATCTCAGGAAAAGTAAGTGATGGAGCCTAGAATCTAACCCAAATAATTTCCCTTCTTTTCTGACAGTATCCACACAACAACAGTGATGGGAAAGGGTGAGTCAGCTTTACATCTAAGGATCACTAAGTTTATTTAGTTGTAACAATTAAAGTTCTCCAAAGGGCCATACAGTTTAGTTATTTGCTTAATGAGAAAAGCACTTGCTTAGAATAAGAGAGATAAATTTAAGCACTATTTCTACCTTGATTAGTAGTACATAAACAGTTTAAGCTTCGGTTTCTTAATTATAAAAATGGAGAAATGATAATCTCATCCCTTACACTCCAACTTACCAGGCTTGCCCTGGTAACATGGTTAAGAATTTTGCAAATATTACATACGAAGGAAATAAAGTTACTGCTAGTGTCATTACTATATCCACTATCTGCCTTCTAGAGCTCATGCTGAGAAAATATTGTTGTCTTCTAGGCTTCTAAATTAGGTGGTACACCTTTAAATGTTATTTACAATTTGGAGATAGTAGATACTAGTCTTTAAAACCAGGAACATTCATAAAACCAGATGAACGTGCATTTAACTATTTAAACAACCATAAGAACTGCCTAGGAGAAACATCTTCCTATGTCGGCTAGTCTCAAATAACCACATCTTTTCTCCAATTGGTTTTAGATCCCCTGAATTATCTCCCTCTCCAATGAAATATATCTACAACATTGTTAGAACATATTATTGTCATTAAACATTTAGGAGATAATTTAATTAATTGTGTAACTCCTATGCTAATAAAGCTTTACCCAGAAACACTCTAATATTAGTATGTGAAATGTGTCTTGGAGCCCCAAGAAGTGGCGGAAGAGCTCATGCTTTGTTCACTAGGTGAGAAACGACGTCTCTTTGTTCATTCTTTGACTTTCTGTAGTGCTAATGAGAAAACCCTTTGCTTGATTTCACTGATATGGTTCACTAAGATGACTGGTAGCATAATGTAGCTATTATGGAGATTAAAGTACCATCAACAAAATCTGGCTTCACTAGAGGTGACAACTGTTTGAATGGCTCGCTTAATTAACTGAAATCTAGAAATCCAAGAAACATTTGCAAAAGCCTATAGGCAGAGAAATTCCTCTAATTTGTACTGAATATATGCTTTAACAAAATATCAAAATTTTAAATAAAGACAGATTTTTCTGATTTTTACCACTGATTTTTCCTTTTGTCTCAAGGTTCGATACGGCTCCGCAAGGCACTATTACTGATCCTGTCCTTACTTCAAATTTTGATATTTTGTTCATCGTGAACTTTTTGCATTGATTTTGATTTTTAAAAAATATTGCATTAAAGTAATTATTGTGATCTTTGAGTCTTCTGGCATCCTTTATATTGTATACCTGAGGTGAGTGCCTCACATGCCTCATCCTAGATCGGCCACTGCAGGAAGGAAATATCTCATTCTCAATATACCCTCTTCCTAACTCAACCATCTTGCCCATACCCATAAACAGCTCAGTGATGCACAGAGTCTAGAGGAAAGAGACAGAGCTGGCCGACTTCCTAATTGACAAGTAGAAGACCCGTGAGGATCACCTTACCTCCCGGTGCCAAATTGGATTAGTGGTGTTACTGATGATAGTAGACCTTCTCTCCTGTCCATGGTGGGCACAAGTGGGGAAACTGCTCTTCTTCCCTGGCTGAATGGACATCTTAAGGTAAGGGTCAGGATTGAAGAACATCCCTTTCTTTAGCCCAACTGCTCTTAGATCTTTAAAGAAAGAGAAAGACAGAGAGGAGGGAGGGAAGAGAGACAGGGAGGAAAAGGGACAGAAGGACAAGCAGCTCAATGACAATTTGTTCTTAAATAATCACACAGGAAGGTCTAAACAGAAACCATTTGGTAAAACAATAACAAAGTTATTCATACCATGATTGACAAATGAAGAAGAGTGGGTTATGACTAATCCCAGCAGAAGGGTCTCCTAACAGGCTGCAAAAATGAAGCCAAACTTTTACTACCACCTTACACATCTAAAGTGACTTCCTGGGAACCATTTTGATTCTAACATGTATGTCTTCACCAGCTTTTTCTATGTGGTTTGGCAACCAGCATTTCAAACATTGTCTTGAGAGAGATCCTTAGTAAACAGTTCATTCGAAAAAAGAAAACCAATATGATCCTTCATAAAAGAAAAATGAATCTTCTATGTACGTATATGAAATACATTGACCCGAGTTTAATTGGGGATGAAATTTCAATGCACACAGTCAGTTGTACCACATTTAAAATGTCGTATATGCTCTATAAATATAATGAATGTTAGGGAAAAAAGAAAGACTGGAAATATTTTTAAAATTTGAATGCTACCTGCTCGCTATATTAAATAATTGTTAGGTTACTTTTTCAATAGCCTCTTAAGTAACTTAAATATCTGATGAATGTCCCTTAACTCATCTGAGATTCACCAGCTGTTATTTCACACTACACAAGCTGATGAAAGTTCTGGCTAAAGTCTGGTTAGTGAAGAGATGGACACTTTTTAAATGGCCAGACCAGTGAATATAAAATGTCAGGAAATAAAGCTGGCTTTACTGAGTCCTCAATGCCTTTCTGAGAATGTCAGTTTGAATTAGGACGGCCTAAGAGCCAAGTGATCTTGAAAGCTTCTGGAAGAATAGACTGTTTCTAGGTAACTTTATGCAGTTATGATCAGTCTAGGGAGGTTCCGACCTGGGGTTCAGACAGAAATTCTGCAGTTGGCCTCTGAACCTTCAAAGACCTTTGGATTACCCAGATCATCTGGTAAGAGACCCCGTGGAGCAGGGGTCCCCACGGAATCACTAGGAACCTGGCTGCACAGCAGGAGGTGAGCTGCTGGCAAGCCAGTGAAGCTTCATCTGTATTTGCAGCCGCTCCCCAATGCTAGCATTACCACCTCAGCTCCACCTCAGATCATCAGGCATTAGAATCTCATAGGAGCACCAGTCCCCGGTGCCAAAAAGGTTGGGGACAGCTGCTATAGACTGACCCTAAATTATGGGAGGTCGCCAAGGTTATCCTACTCAATCCCGTTTCTGAAATACAAAATCTTTCTTAGAAGGACAGAACTGGCCTGGGGCTGCCCATAGAACCATATTCCCTAGAGAGTGCTCCCTGGAGGGGGCTCACCTCCTCATCTAGGCCAACAAGAACTTATGGCCTAGATATCTGCATGATGCAAACAAACCAGGACTGTCTAATGACGCGTAACAGGCAGTAGAGGGAAGCAGTTAATATGTTGACAAAGATTGAAAATTTAACCAAGATGACCTTATGTTAAGAATACTGCATAAAAGAGAATAAGGTCTTTGATCTGAAAACCAGTGGGAGAAGAGAAAGATGAGAAAAGATCTAACAGGCACTTCAGAGAAGCCACTGTCATTTCATTAGCCGTAGAGTTCCCATTCCTGGCACTTACTAAACAGTCATTATTAATACAGCACTTGCATCAGACTACCAATTTAATAATGCTACATGTTTTCACTTGGCTTTATTTAGCATAAAATGGCCTGGAGAGGAAAAATGAAATTTACTTATTTATTTTCCTACCTCTCTTAATTATGCTAGCCTCAGACTCAAAGACAGAAGAATGATATTCTTCAGATATTAAATCTACTTCTAAAAAGAGATTTCTTTGCAGTAAATGAGAAGAGTAACATGAACAGAAATGGCTGCCACAAAGTCTGACAGAGCTAAATTATTCATGTAAAACATTCCTTTGAACAAAAAGAATTCCACCAGAAGATTAAGCCACTATGATGAAAGAAGCCACTGTTAGTCAACCCTCATATCAAACTTCTCCACAAGGGACCCTGTACAAATAAATCTTCATTAATAAATACAATAAACTACGAATTATCTGTAGTCCGATTATTCAATCCTCTTTAGCCATCTCATTTCTGTTCTTGTTTCTCTCTTTTGTCTTCAATATATTTTATTGCTCATTAATATCTACATCTTTGAAAAGACCAATGAAGGACTCAAAGTCACTAAGGTATAACATGTTAAATATCTAGTTTAAAGTCTTACCTGGAGGAGAAGTTTAATAATCAAAACACAGTTTTGGTTCTGCTATTGAGTTTGATTATTTGTGTTCCTACTTATCCGTAGATAATCAAAAGTAGAGCATTTGCAGACAGCCATTCCACAGTGCTTAAATACTCTTAGATAAATATTATCATTTACTATCAATATGCTACAACCAGATAATTTTTTTTAGAATTACCATTATAAGACTGCTTTCATTTTCTATGATTTTAGCCATTTCTGTATACCATCTGCAAATATCTGACTATATGGTAGGAAATAGATTTTTAGCTAGCTGCTATGTGTATTAAGGTGGAATGTTGAAAGAGTTGTATTTACAGAAGAAATATGTGGCTGTGCCCCAAAGCTTATTTCCTGCTATGTCCTGGGATTTTCATCTTCTAGATGGTCACTCTCCCACGGTGAGTTAATTAACACCCCTATGAAGTCAAAATCGATATGTGTGTCATATTTAGAATGATACTGCTTGCTTGGAAGAACAGGAAATGCATCACAGGAAAACCATGATGTTTGTGGTCAAATTAAATTTCTGGGCCACAGAGGTTGGCTAATTCTCCCCAAGCTATAAAGGAAGGATATGTGCACCTGCAGCCCCTCAGGACTGTGAAGGCCTAAGGCACAGGTGGCCAACCGAAATGTTTTCAGGAGACAGACAGATAAGGCGGGTTGGGCAGTAGTGTCACAGGTAGAAGCACTTCTAAGTGCCTTTCTAAATACTTTTTAAACCTTGGGGGGTCCAACCAAAACAGTTATTGGCCAAATTTGAACCAAAAGCCACAAGTTTACCATCTCTGAGATTTACCAGAGAAAGAAAACAAAAAAGGCTTGCATAATAAGTAATCTCATAGCGGGGAGAAGGAACATGCTAGACTAGACATGGATACTCAGAAGGCCATCGGCTGACAATGAACTACTGTGCACGCTTCTGTCTTATGTGATAATTATGCATCATTGCAATGTCTGTTTTCAAGATTAGCCTTTTAACTCTCACTCTTGAGAATGTCTATTTCCATTCACATTGTTTTGCAACCAAGAAAGTAAATCTAAATTAAATTTCAGAAGCACTACACTGATGGAAAAATGGAAACAAAACATCTTACGGTGACAGACATCTGTTAGACTTTTTTTGGTATGTATTGTAGTACAGTTGTCTGTTTTAAAAGTCCATTTCAAATACTGATTTTCTTGGAGTATTCTTGACTTTATGACTGACAATTTTTAAAAACCAGTGGCTTTCAAACTTTTTTGACAGTGACCTACATGTAAAATACATTTCACATTAAAACCTAGTATACACATACATAGGTGTATATATTTTGTGTGTAAAAATTTTCAGGTTGTATAAACCGATGATCTATGAAAAAATCTTTCCTTTTGGTGGTAAATGCTGATTTTTTTCTGTTCCTTTTTTAATTGCTAGTTTCAACTAAATTAATCTTAGAAACCATGAAACGGTTCCAGTCACAACCTGAAAAGCTTTGGTTCTATGATAAACAAAAAAGCAATCAGAATATTTTACTAGCCAAAAAAAAGTCTCATCTACTTTCCAATTTTTCTGTGTATTCCTCCACAGAAATAGGAGTATTCCTTGGCTTTTTTTTCTCCTACTCTCCTAATTTTTCCAATCTCTAGATGAGGTAAGTACAAATTACTTCCAACTAATTATCAAAGCCCTGCAGTGAGTTTAGCACCTTATATTACAGGTTTTTAAAACACATGTTACATTACAGTTTTTTAAAGTAAATATATGTAGCTATAGTCTTTTTATCACCAGAACACTTGGCAGAAGAAATAATTTCTGAGTTTATATCGATAATTTAATTTTATCAAGGTAGAGATATACTTGAATTTCAGAGGCATTACCGTCCCCCAAGTAACTAAATAACTCGTTTACATATCATATATGATAATGTGTAGAAAGAAGTGATTATTTATGCCTGTGAAACTGCACACTTTCAAACTAGACGTCATGCTTAAAGCATCCTTACCTGACAACGTAAAGCTAACGAGCTTCCGAGAATGCTGACTGCCTGAAGCACCTCCTTCCATGCCTTCTGCCCCCATCTGTAGAGAGAAAATATGAATTTGCACTTTCACAGGAGTATGATGCTACTCAACCATCCTAGGGAACCATATATGTTTGCAAATAGGATGATTTTTGTATCAAACATGTATTTAGTATACACCTTTTCCTATGCTACAAACCTTGGAATTGAGACACAAATGCAGATTCTTAGAGATGAGAGAAAAGATTATACTCAAACTTAGTCTCTACCCAAAATGAAACCAACGTGAGCTTCCAAATTCCTTGGGCTATGAATCAACTTAATTTATGTCCTTTTATTCCTTTGATAAGAACATAGTTAATATGTAATAAATATGTTATATTACTATTACTGTATTAAAACATTATTTAATTTAAAAATTAAACATCAAATTCCTTCAGATTTGTTGGGAAAACCTGGAATAAACTAAATAGATGATTTATATCAGAGTCATCCATGTATATGTAAAATTATCCTCTCACCAAATATTTCTGAGTGACCACGTGGATGTCCCATTGCCCTACACAGATTCCTATTTTATTATGCTACAGGTACCTGGCACGTGCTATTATAATTAGTTATAATAAAACTCTGCAATGCTATTGTACTAATTATTGTATTGTGAAGCTTCTTCCTAAAACCCTTTGAGTAAATTATGTTTCACTTGAATCCACTTATAGCAGATTTAACCACATAGCAGATGTAACCTCTAAATTTATGTACAATTAGTGCTCAATTTATGGTACACTAGTAAAAAAGACTTTCATGGTTCTCTAAAAAACAAAGTCCACAATACTGTAAGGGACAGAATTGAAAGCAGAATATATTTTGAATAGTTGGGAAATAGAAACTACATTTTAATTCTAACGTTTAGGTTAAGCTCTTCTATCTTATCTTTGTGGCACTCCCACACTCCAATAAAAATCATATGCCACAAAGAAATAAAACTTTCACTAATACAAGAAAAGTTGAAAATTTTTCAAAATAAATTCCATTCCATTCTTTTCAAATATAAATTTCTACTTCCTTCTCTACTTCCTGTAACTTAGTCAAACTATTTTCTGTGACACTTCTTCCTGATTGTTTCGCATGTCATTTACAAATACACTAGGGTACCATCTGGGTCTCCTTTTTCATTCTATCCAAAAAACCAATTCCTTGATGACATTGAGTTGGCACTCAACAAGTATGTATGGTGTACTATATTGTGTGATATCTCTCTGCCTCGTCACCCCCAGGTTAACTAAAGGAGGGATAACAGCAAACTGGTCAGACAACTGATCGCTGTCACAATCTAATCCTGCTTTAACCACACAAAAACCCAGATTACAGAGTGGTAAATAGCGACATAGTACAGACCCTCAGCAGCCTGCCCCTCCTGTGCTCTGGGTAAGCCAGACATCTGATAAACCATGGCCTCCCTTTAAATGGATACTGCTCCATGAGTTGTACCACCCACAAAGACACGACATCTCCTCCTGCTAAGGGATACTCAAGCTAAGTGAGCTAAATGAGACCAAAAAGACTCTAGTCCATCTTTATTTAAAACCTATTTAAAATATTATAAGATATTATAGAAACAAAACAAAATGTCCTGAATTCTCTTTTTTAAATGTAATTCATTCTGGAAAAAAAGCTAATGTGAAACAATTCTCACAGAATTTAGAGATAAAGTTTCCTTTACTACAACTGTGGCAAAATGCTCATCTGAAATAATACTGAAAGAATTCAATTTCATCACTGATGACAAAAAAGCCAGGAAAGACCAAACATTACCACTAGATATAGGGACATCAGTGATAATAAACACATCTGCACTCACTGTTTAGAGAGTTTTTTAAATAAACTCATTCCATAGATTCATTCCAGGAAAACCCAGAAGCAACACTGTCAACCAAGTATGGAAACAATACATGGTAGTGAGTGATGGTAGCCTTTATCTGTCCCTGAAGCCAAAGGATTTCCTGTTCCAAGTGTCTGAGATACATATCACTGTGTACTCTGATAAATGATAATGACGTCAAAGTGCCAATGACAGAGAAGACACAATGTTTTTTATCTTTGACTCACTGCAAAAGGATATGCTAGAAAGGAGACCATACAATTAGGATGGTAGCTTATTTCCTACCCTATAGAGTTACTCAGTTATTTCTTCCAGGACTATTCTTTTGCAACTGGTCATGGAATAATCATACTAAATGGGCTTTGTGAATATCAATGTTGTTATTCAGTCTCAATAAGTCAACACATGTTATATTCCTGAGTAAAATACAAATATAGCACTCACCCCCCACAATGAAGTGTTCATATGACATGACCTCTCAATTTTGGATGCTAAGTCTCAAGCTTGGTCAGAAATGTACTGGCCACCAATTCTTTGAACCACAATATTCTATTCTGATTGCCAGTGCTGTATCAATGAAACTTTTAAGGTGCTCTAAAACCTGTCTGAAGGAAATTAATTATCTCCAAACTATCCACAGGATTTGACAGAGTAATATCAATGCAAAAAATCAATGGAATGAGATCAATGGTCACCAGGATGTGAATGCTGGCTCACTTCTGTGATATCTGATCACTGAAATTGCTTAAGTCTCAAAAAAACATAAATCCAGAAAATCATGTTTGAAAGCTATTGTCTAATCTCACACACAGTTAATTTTTCAAAGGTTTTATTACAACCCCACACTTGTAGCTCCATAATTTTTCTTTATACAATGTTAATCAAAGCACGTTCCTCTGCTTACTATGTGACACGGCAGAGTCTGAAGTCCAAAACTGTTATTTTCCTTGTGGCCTCCAAAGTCTTTATATAGTAAATGTGGCTTATTTTTTTATATCCTTTACCATGTTTAATACAATGGATATTCAAATATAATTCAAATGTGAGAAGAGTACTTAGATATTTAAGATTTTGCACATAATGTTCCCTCTACTTAAAATGCTCTTCCTTCTCTCTCTTCACCTAAGTAGCTCCTATTTATCCTTTAGATTGTCTTGCAAACACTTTCTTCAGGGAAGCCTTCTAAGTCCTTCCTGATCAGGATAAATCAACATGATACTTTCCTAGTAGCATGTGCTCTGATAGTCCCATTTTACTTCCTCTCCTAGTAATTTCCACTCAAATAAATGTATTTTAATTGATGTCTCTCTCCCCTAGCTGACCAGTGTGAACAAGGACTGAGTTTTTGCTTATCATTTCATCCCTAGTGGTGGGCGAAATGTCTGCTACTTAGCTGGCACCCAGAAAATATTTGTTTGAATGAACAAATGAAAGGGAAAGACTGCATGATACAGCATTCGTGGGTCTGGACAATTGTAAAATGCTATCTGCAAAGATTACTTTCTGAATTTCAGGGTGTCAACCTGGCCACTTGCCTATATCTAAAAATGCATGCATCTATAAATGTACATACACACACATACACACACACAATATTATGAAGATTTCATATTATGGCAGGTAATATTTTTCTTCTCTACTTTCACAACATAATTTTTATTGACTTATAAAAACTGCAATGATTTACGTATCTTACACTCTTAGACTCTCTCCAACCATCTGAGTCCAACCACCCATGTACAATGGAGCACATCTTGAGAAACTCTAAGAACCTAACATTAGTGGATAGAGCAAAAAATAACAAAATTGTGAAAAGTAATCCTTAGGAAAGTACCACGTTGGAAATGGACATACTTTCCTTCAAAAGTCCAACAAAACCGATATCCTCCAAAACTAAATTAAATATCTCTTTCTTTCTGCTGAGGACCTGGTGAAGAGGTTTGGCCTTCACTGAGTGGCCATATTATACCAAAAAAAAAATGGCATTTTTAGGCACTAGGCCCTAACTCAGCATTGAGAGGGATCTAGCCTAAAGGCTTCCTGAGGAAATAGCATATTCATGATCCCCATCTCATTCTTTCTTTGGGTAAAAGCTTAAGTTGACTTGGCAGGTAGAATCCACACTATTTAAATCATTATTTTTCTCCCTTTACCCACTGAGCTCATGTAAATTAAATTCACATAAGCTGCAGTGTCACGATTTCCTACCAACTTGTCACCCAAAGTTTAAAAACTTTCCCATGGTGGGGCCCTCACTAATTTGCTTCATTGGTGGTTTCTCTGAAGAGTTGACTACATAAAGAATTGTTATAAATCAAATCATATTTTCCCACTGATTTATATTGTAAATGCAGGTAAACCAGCCTGTAAGTTATTTCCTTTACTAAAGCGGCGCCCACGCTGTCTTGCACTTCCTTTTTCATTGTTCCCATAACCCTGCCAGAGCTGCACAGGCAAAAATAGAAATCGCGGCCCTGGAGACTTCATGCGGAAGCCCCGCAACCAGGGGCACTCACCATCACAGCAGGGTTCTTCACGGTGATGCAGGGCGTGGTGGCTCGCAGGGCTCCACTAATGCCGTGGTAGTATTTAAAACAGATTTTTATCTCCGCTGCAAATCGATTGGAGAAAAGCAATAATTTAAACATAGAAACAAGTCATTTAGGAATAAACTGAAGAAACTGGCCACGCCACCTCTCAGAAAATCCCGCTCATGGATGGCTCTTTAAACTATCCCTTCTTTTCCGATCAGAAACAACAGATTGATCATGCCATTTCCTATTTCATTTTATATACGTCTCTGGAATGTCCTAAGAATGATCCCAAATATATTAGAAAAATAATGCACAAAAACAACATGCCAAAATTTAAATAGTGTAGAAATGAGTAAGACTAGCCATGATTTACTGAGGTGCTCCACAATGTACCAGACACAGTGCTATGTCTCGGCTCATGTTGTTATTTAACCTTCACACCAACTTTGAGAGGCAGAAATTCCTGTCCCCATGTTGCAAATTAAGTGCTGAAGATTGCAGAAGTTCAAACAAACAGGAAATGACAGAGTCAGGACTCAAACTCAATCTGTTCAATTCCAAAACCTTCACTCCTAACCCCTACAATGGATGTAGGTTGTAGCTGTCTGTGGAAGTAGCAGCTTAACAAGTATGATAAAATACTGTCATAGACTATGCAGTGATAGGGTCTACATTATTTTAAATTTCCAAGTGACAAATGCAGCCACTAGACAGAGATCAAATTTAGGAACTATTGGTATATTTATACCAGTATGTGGATAGATGGATAGATATAGGTAAAGGTGTAGGTGCAGGTGTAGGTGTAGGTGTAGGGATAGATAGATATAGATATAGATAGATATAGATATACATGGATATATATCCTGTAGATACACACACATATACATACCAAAATACACACAAATCTGTAGATATGTATTTTTGTGTATATTATATGTTTGTATTTTATGTATGTTATACATGTATAGTGTGTGTGTGTATAATTTGAACTTGATAAAAAGCAATACGAATGTCAGTTGTTGATTTTGAAAAGTAACTACAGGTTCAAAGGCAATGAAGCCAGAATGTGCCAAAGATAAAACACATGGACACTGGAATTTCTCTATATAGAGAGCGTCTGAGACACTGAAGTGCCACTACAAAATGTTTTTTTCCCAAAGTGTCATTCAATATAGGCAATGACACTCAGGGGCAGCCCCAGGGAGTCCTAGCCTATGAGAATCACCTGGATTATTAAAGTCACTATATTTTCCCAAAGAAGTTAATCTTCCACTGATTGTACCAAACAACCTCCTACAGTGTATTTAGTTCTCCTATTTTAAAAGAAAAAGATAATGATGAAAAAAATCCTTTTTTAGGGATTTTTATTGTTACACATTTCTTATCAATAATGAAACACTAAAAAAAGTCTGTCATGAGGTAAAATATTGAGTCTTTCCATTATGTATGTTAATCACTAAGCAGTGATTCAAAATTTAGTTAGCAACATCAGGCAAAAGATTTTTACCATGTATGCACCACAACACACATGACCAACACTATGCCAGACAGTGTGAGGGAATGAAAGAAAGATTTCTGGAGTAGCAGGTGATTTATAGTGTACCTGTTGAGAT